TTACTAAAGGAAATTATGTGTTGCTTGTCATATGAACAATCATTATAAGGGTTTAGACTCGTATCTTTTGCAAAGGGAATGAGAGATTTTTTTGTTAGAATTTGCAACATCTTTTCACTCATATGAGCTAGTCTCCTATACCACAAGTCTGATAAAATATCATCTTCCGCTATTTAAAACATTTTTTATTGTTTTCACTTAAGTCTTGTAGAGTGTGTGACATAATCTATCTCAAGCAATCATAATTGAACCTTTAGTAAATTTTTATTTTTTACCACCAAATAAGTTATAATAATAATCTAAATCCAGGGTACGAACAAAAATCATATTCAGGTACAAATCTGGCACATATTGCACATTTTTCAAGGACAACATACAACCAACATTTATCTATATACAAACATCCTCAATACCCCATCTATCTCTATAACTGGTGTTACATATTTTTACTCTAGTAAAATCTCCTACTTTATATATAGTAAAAATATCTTTCTCGGATATAATATGGTAAGATACTACTGAATCAAAAACTGACTCAATATTATGATCAATAACATGATAGTGATCATCAACAAAAGAAAGTACAAATAGCTCTTCAATTTCATCAGCTACAATTACAATGGTATTTTGATCATCAACCTTTTTTATTTTTCTTATTATTATGTTCATTTTTCAATACTCTGTATTTTGGTTTCACATGTTCCTCATTGTCGCAATAATAACAGCTGAAATTTCTTTTTGATTGTGATTTACTTATGGATTTATTATTGTTCTTTAGGACCTCTTCTTTTACTTTTATCTTTACTCTCTATGATTGTAACAAAAACTTATGAAGTATCAATGTCTATATCTTTCTTAGTCTCCTCGTTATACAGACTATAATTTGGAGTAAAGTTACCAACAGACACCATCAAGGTCTCTCAATTGTCTGGCAAGGAGCTCAAGAGTAATAATATTTGCATTTCATCATGTATAATTATTTTTGTAGTGTTTAATTAATTTACCAAAATTTGGAACTCATTAAAGTATTTTTTTACTGATCGTTCGTCTTTCAATTTCAAGTTGCCAGCTTTCTAATAACAAAAAATTTATTTGAAGTAATTTTTCTCTCGTGCATAACCTCTAATTTCTTCTATAAGTCTTGTAAATTAATTTCTTTGCTTATGTAATGGTAGACATTGATATCTATCCATTGTTGCATAATTCTAAAGTTTTTTTTTGTCCATTTTCTCCTAGTCTTCTTCTAATATCTTAATTGGCTTGACAGTTTTTAATTTAATAAGATCATACAAATTTTTATAATAAAAGAGATTTTTAATTTTTAATTTTTAAATCGGATAATTTGAAATTGTTAATTTAATTAGTATACTTGTGAATTTATTCATTATAATTTATGTAATTAAATCAAATTCTTATATCATTTGTTAGATCTTAATTAAAAAAAATATAATTAATTGTGTAACTAAAATAATTACTAATAAATAAATAAATAACGAGTAAAAATATAGACATTTGACTTTTATGAGAAAAACCTATTATTATTAATAAAAAAACTCACGGGTTAAAGTTTGATTAAAAAATCCAGTATATCTCGAAATAAATACAAAATAATCCACTGTGAATAAAACAAAAATTTTCTTTTCAGTTGGCTACACTTATATATATATATGTGTGTATATATATATGTCCACCCTTTTATTTTCTTTTTTCTTTTTGCTTTCTTTATAGGCGAGAGCAAGCTGTTTTCATTAGATTCTCCTCGCTGAAAGGCTTCCATGAATCACGAAATATGATCTCTTCCCTGAGCTGACACTATATCTGGAAACAAATACGAAATAATCCACCCAGAATAAAACAAAATTTTTCTTTTCAGTTGGCTACACACACCCACATATATATATATATATATGTATATATAAGTCCAACCTTTTATTTTTTTTCTTTTGCTTTCTTCATAGGCGAGAGCAGCTGTTTCCTTAGATTCTCCTCCCTGAAAGTCCTCCGTGAGTCGCGAAATAGGATCTCTTCCCTGAGCTGACACTGTCTGGAAACAAGAACAAAATAATCCACCGTGAATAAAACAAAATTTTTCTTTTTCAGTTGGCTACACTTATATATATATCTATATATACATATATATAAGTCCAACCTTTCATTTTTTTTTCTTTTGCTTTCTTTATAGACGAGAGCAGCTGTTTTCATTAGATTCTCCTCGCTGAAAGTCCTCTATGAATCACGAAATATGATCTCTTCCCTGAGCTGACACTCTTTCAAAAATATCTCACCATTATATTTTTCCCCGTGCTGAAAATCCACAAGTGATCTGGCATATCTTCTCCATTAGCGTTTACGTCTTCTCCTACTCTATCTTCTTATTGATGGTCATGGGCTGGAATAAACACATTTCGCTCTTCCCCTCTGTTTACTCTCTTTACAGCCATGCCGTCTTCTTCTCCTTCTGGGTATTCTTTATTGTTTAACACAGCGAGGCTACTCGCGACGTTGTTGGTTTTGGTGGCGTGCCCTCGTGTGCAAGCCGTGCAACTACCGTTTCACGCGAAGGACATGCTACCGTTTTTGCCCAGGCATCTTTCATGGCCGATTCTCAACTCACTGAACGCCGCGGTGGACCTTCTGCCCAGCTTTATGGGCGCAGTTTCGGCTCGAAACGACACCGTCGAGTGGAAAGGTGCCTGCTTCTACGAGAACAGGGCTTGGATGGAGTTCCACAACAAGACTGGGAGCAAATATGGTGGAGGAACTCTTCATATCAAGGTGAGAGGGCAATCGGATTTTAACTTCATACATCTATTTTTGCTCATACAATTTCCGTTCTTTTCCCATTTCGGTTGGTTTTGTCCGTATTTTAAGTATAGTATTACTTACTTTTGAATATTAAGGCCTGTTTTGATATTTTGGTTCATAATGTCGATCTTTTGCGTGTTTATTCGGTTGTTATTATAGAAATTTGGAGGATATAGTATCTGGGTAACGGAAAGTTGCGGGATGTGTAGTATGGAAATCGGAAAGTTTGATACTTTTGCAGAAAGTCTGGGTTTCCTTTTGTTGGGTTTGCGTATTGATAGGTAGTTTATCCAAGTTAACCATTTAGTTTGTTCAAGTCTAGAGAAATTGGTAGTTGTATTTCAGATTCTTAGAATGTTTTTGCTGAATATGAGAACTCTTGTAACAGCTGCCTTCCCTTTTCTTGAAGGGATAACCTTCCTGAACTTCATTTCAACTTTTGGCGTTCTTTTTAGTGACAGTTAGTCGATAATTCCAGCTTTAATTTGTTGCATTTCATTGCTAATCTTCACTATTGAGAGTTTATGTCTAATGTGTTTCTATGGAGAAACATACTTCTAGTGAACTTGAAGCAATTTGGAGAACTGGGTTTGTTGAAGTTCTGCTCAAAATTACTCAAAATCTCTATCTGTCTTATCCAGGTCAGCAAAGCCCACAGTGGGACATGCATGGATCTTTACGTCTTTGCCACTCCATATCGTGTAACATGGGATTACTATTACCTGTCTCGAGAGCACACACTTGACTTCAAGGAGTGGGAAGGGAAAGCTGAGTATGAGTATGTAAGTTGCCACTTTAATGCACTCATGATTTGCTAGGTATGGTAGTTTTTGGCCTTTAGGTTTGCATTTTATGGCATGCATGGTTTTTGTGTTTATCTCAGGTGCAAAACAGGGGAATTTCTATATTCCTCATGCAAGCAGGGATGCTGGGAACTCTTCAAGCATTGTGGGATGTGTTTCCCTTATTTACAAACACAGGATGGGGTGAAAAATCTAATATTGGATTTCTCGAAAAGCATATGGGTGCTTCCTTTGAACAACGTCCTCAACCCTGGGTGACAAACGTTAGCACTGACGATATTCACTCTGGAGATTTTCTTGCAATATCCAAGATTCGTGGGCGATGGGGTGGTTTTGAGACTCTGGAGAAGTGGGTAACTGGAGCATACGCTGGTCATTCTGCTGTTTGCTTAAGGGACTCCAAAGGGAAGTTATGGGTTGGTGAATCGGGCCATGAAAATGAACAGGTAAAACTGCAAAATGTGGAATTTGCTAGAAACATATAACTTATAAGGATTGAACTTTCTATAAGGTTGTGTAAGTGTATTCTCTTTTTCAAGCTTTGTAAACAGAACGGTTTCTCCTATCTGAATTGTCCTTGCATTAGGTTGTTGCAGTGGCAGGAGCAACCANNNNGTATTTAAAATATTGATGTTCATTTTTTATTTAAACTTTAAAAAATTTTTGGCAGAATTTTAGTTGATGCTTTGTATCTCATATTGTTTTCTAATAATCTCAGAATTCTCTTTCATTCCTGTGAGCATGTAGGTGGACTTTGCAATTAAATAGTTTCATCAATTCATGTGATTTGACCTAGTGTTTGTGGTACAATAGGTCGCTTCTTTTATGACAGTATGGAATCATATACAACCAGATTATGCTGCTAACCTGTGGAATGAAGCATTGAACAAGCGACTTGGAACTAAGGTACTGTAAACTTTCTTTTTGTTCTCTAGTTTCATTTCTATCAGTTCAGCTTGTTGAAATTCTGTTATAGTATTAATTGGTGGTAATTTCAAATGAAGAAAATGTCTTGCGATATAGTTCTGTTTGTGAAACGACACATTTTCAAGTTACATGTTAAGCATCTTCAGTCAAGTACATGCTGTTGGGAAATATGAAGTAACTATGAAAATCATATGTGAAATGTTGTTTCGTCACATTTATTCATGAAACCATATGTGAAGTGTTGTATCTTGCATCCTATTACAAGCAGTTAACACCATCTAAATCATTTCCAGACTCTATTTTCCAAGCAATATTATTGCCTGACTTTGCTGTCATGGCATCAAATTTAAGGATTGATGACATTAGAACAACTCTTCCCCTGAAAACTCATTAAGCATCTCCTCCTCTCTCTTCATTTCAGTTATTTTCCTTGTAGTTAAAATTAATTTTTTTTTTTTCCTATAGGACCTTGATCTTCCTGATATATTGGTGGAACTTGAAAAGCGAGGATCATCATTTGATGAACTATTGGCAATTCCTGAACAAGATAATTGGATATATAGTGATGGGAGGTCCACATCATGTGTTGCTTTCATTCTTGAAATGTATAAAGCGGCTGGGTTGTTTGATCCCATTGCTACAGAGATTCAGGTCACTGAGTTCATGGTGAGTTTTCCCAGATTAACCATAATCTTATATTCTCCAGTAACTTCAAGCCTATCATTATATGATGAGATCTGACGAAATATAGTAAATCATATAACCATGCTGCTCAGGGAATTGTAGGTAGTTTGCCTGTGAGTTAAAATTTTTTCAGGTCAATTTGGAGGTCTAGCTGTTCTATAAGTAGTTTACATTTTAAATTTATGTGAATTCAAATAATTTATAAATGCAGATTAAAGACGCATACACACTCAGGTTTTTTGAGAACAACTCAAGTCGGCTGCCAAAATGGTGCAATGATGGGGACAGTGTGAAACTTCCCTATTGTCAGATCCGAGGGAAGTATCGGATGGAGCTACCTGGATACAATACAATGGACCCATATGCCCACATGAATGAAAGGTGCCCATCTCTGCCACCAAAATACAACAGACCTAAAAACTGCTGAAGAACTTCAAATCCTCAGAAGTTTTCTCTCACATAGTCTCTGGTTAAATATTAAATCTGGACCTTGTACACTTTCTCTGCTGTTTGTATGATACAAGTATCAAAAGGAAATTTGGACTATTAAGACCGTTGTCAATATGGTGATAAAATGGTAGAAATGGAGATTCTGATAGGTACTGAATTGTTTGTATGATGTACATTTACATGGACAGATTAAGCCTTAGAAATTCTCCGTGGCTGTTGGAAGTTTACATGTTTAGCTGTAAGGAGTTATGAGAAAAATCTCCAGTGCATAGTAATTCTCATTTGTTCTTAAAACCGTAGATCTGATTATACATGTATGGTGTATGGTGGAACTGATGTTTGGTTGTTAGAACCTTGTTCGGTCAGATTTTGATGGTTCAGGAAATAAAGTTTTATTCATGTGTGTCATGTTTGTTACCCATAATATCTGTACATGAATTAGGGGTGCTAATAAGAAGCTTTTAGTGCAAATTGATTTGATATGCTATAGCAAAAAAGAAAGGCTAAGCATAGCAGACAAAAACTGAGAATTAAGTTTTACTTACTTGCCAGCCTTTGGGAATAAGGGACCCACCATACTCAACATCTTCCATTGCCTTTCTGAACCTTTTGAAGACCGGAGGAAACATTCTTAGAGTTTCCATTACTACTCTCCATGTGCATTTCATCTTTGCGAGATTCTCCCATGTTATAAATGCCCCTGCGGGCTTGCTCTTAGCTATTTCATCTTGTTCTACTGATCATAATTGAGTCTATAAGATAGTAGATTGCTGATATTTCAGTTGAGGTCTCTTAAGATGTTATGTTAATTAAGTTTGTCAATTTCATCAAGCAAATTGAAAAGCCTAACCTTCTCCCATGTTTCTTACCTCAAACCCTAAACACCTTTCATCCCTTTGAATCTTTCTCTTCTCTTCCCTCTTTTCCTTTAGTGATTTTGCAAAATTAAGGAAGGTTGTTACAATATCAACAATCTAGACTTCTGAGAGCGGTTAGTTAGGTTCAAAACTTATTATGTCAGTAATGCTCGAGCCTCAAGGATTCCAATGCTACCAAACCACTGTGAAATTATTTGGGTTTGGTGCCCAGGCTACAAAATCACAACAAGTTTATATTGAAATCTGAAAATGCTTGCAGTTTGCAGTTTGGATTTTAGCTTATTTCACTGTCTTCTCCTTAAGATCTCTTGTTTTTATTATAAGATCGTGTGATTGGATCCGCAGATGTTTGGTAAAAAAAATATTCTTCTTTGAGAATAATCAAAAATGAAAAGTGTTCAATTGGAACATGAAAACGTGACTAAGTTTGTCCTACTTACTCTTTGGGACGGAGTGGAAGAAGGGAGGAGAATCTTTAAAACTTATTATGTCAGTAATGCTCGAGCCTCAAGGATTCCAATGCTACCAAACCACTGTGAAATTATTTGGGTTTAATGCCCAGGCTACAAAATCACAGCAAGTTTATATTGAAATCTGAAAATGCTTGCAGTTTGCAGTTTGGATTTTAGCTTATTTCACTGTCTTCTCCTTAAGATCTCTTGTTCTTATTATAAAATCGTATGATTGGATCTGCAAATGTTTGGTAAAAAAAAATATTTTTCTTTGAGAATAATAAAAAATGAGAAGTGTTCAATTGGAACATGAAAATGTGACTAAGTTTGTCCTACTTACTCTTTGGGACAGAGTGGAAGAAGGGAGGAGAATCTTCAAAACTTATTATGTCAGTAATGCTCGAGCCTCAAGGATTCCAATGCTACCAAACCACTGTGAAATTATTTGGGTTTGGTGCCCAGGCTACAAAATCACAGCAAGTTTATATTGAAATCTGAAAATGCTTGCAGTTTGCAGTTTGGATTTTAGCTTATTTCACTGTCTTCTCCTTAAGATCTCTTGTTCTTATTATAAGATCGTGTGATTGGATCCGCAGATGTTTGGTAAAAAAAATATTCTTCTTTGAGAATAATCAAAAATGAAAAGTGTTCAATTGGAACATGAAAACGTGACTATGTTTGTCCTACTTACTCTTTGGGACGGAGTGGAAGAAGGGAGGAGAATCTTCAAAACTTATTATGTCAGTAATGCTCGAGCCTCAAGGATTCCAATGCTACCAAACCACTGTGAAATTATTTGGGTTTAATGCCCAGGCTACAAAATCACAGCAAGTTTATATTGAAATCTGAAAATGCTTGCAGTTTGCAGTTTGGATTTTAGCTTATTTCACTGTCTTCTCCTTTATAATTTTCATTTCATAAATTTCATTTGTTTCGTAAATGTAAGTAGCAATTTTTTTTCCTATCAAGTATCTAGAGTAAATTTAACTGGCGAGGGTCTTTGTAAATATGGTAATCAAACTGTAGAAGTGGAGGATATTAAAAATTTTTTGTGGCCATGGGAATGTTACATATTCAGTTGAAACAAGTTTGAGAAAAACCTAAAGCACATTGCAGTTTTTGATTTGTACTCAAAACAGTAGATAATGCGGAACCTAAGATCAACCAACATGATCAAAAACTCACACAATTTCATTCAAGGCATTAAAAGGAATTGGTCCTATAGAAACATTTCATATTTAACCCACTATCAAGAATGATAAGAACTAAGATCACTGGAAATGAAATAAATTAAATGAAAAAATGTCACAAGATCGTATATTGATAAGTAGATGTATTCCTTACTCGACAATATGGTAGAAGAACCTCTTTTGAAAAAAAATATTCTTAATATTATTGAAATAATTTATGAATGTCTTCTAATGAAGATTTGGTGACTTATGTATAGGTAAAGGCAACTAAATAAAAAAATAAAATAAAATCTCTTAATTTAATTTGTAATTACAAAGAAAATAAATTAAAAATTAATTTCCAACGTAAAATAAATTTGGTCTTCCCTTTTAATTAAAAAAAGATTGTTGTCAAATTAAGAAGGGAGACATATGAAAATAAATTAAAAATTAATTTTCTAATTAAGATAAATTTAGTCTCTCCTTTAATTAAAAGAGATTGTGGTCAAATTAATAGGGAAACATGAAAATTTAGAGTCGGCCATAAGATCTCTTTTTTAGCCTATTTCCTCATCTTTCTTTGGATTTGGTCTTCTCTTTCTGATCCATGTCTATACTCACATCATCTCCTCCTCCTTTAAAAACAATTCGTTCTCGAATCGGACACTTTTTATGTAAGGGTTTCACCAATCTTATTTTCTTTGAGAAAATGTCTTGCAAAACAACACTATTTAATAAAAAAGGTTTGAGGTGAGTTAATAATTTTGTTTTGAAAGCGGGTCTCCTTAACTCTTATTCTATATAGTAACATTCTCTTTTTATGTTCCTCAATCTTTTATTTTCTCTTAACTTTATAGAGTTTTTGAGTTGTTGCTAATCTTTAAATACTTTCTCAGGTGATAGCGGTGCAAATGTAAATTTTGACCACTCATGCTAAAGGAATAACGATTCCTATAGCCATCATAAGTTGCGCGCTTATCATATTGTCAGGGTCTTCCAAGTAAGATATGACTAGCATGCATGAGCACAATATCACAACGTATTTTATCAGTATATTTTCCAATAAAAAAGGAAACTAATATATGCTTAGTCACTTTCATCTCTCCACAATCAGTCAATCACTGCAACTTGTAAAGGTGAGGATGGCGCGTGCATATCAACCCAATTTTATCAACTAAATAAATACTAACAACGTTGGTACAACTACTCCCATCTATTATGAGATTAGATACCTTCCCATTTATAAGGCAACGAGTGTGGAAGATATTCTCTCTCTGGTTACTTTCTTCCGACTTGACTTGGACGTTTAGAACTCTCTGGATAACTAAAGCTTTTCCCTGAGCTGGATATTCAACACTTTCCTCAACGCATTATCTTCTCTCTCGCAATCATTAGCATTATTAATTCCACCATCACCTCTCAATATCATGATCTTCTTATTTGGGCATTGAGAAGTGATATGTCCGGTTCCGAGGCACCTAAAACATTTAATTGTACTATGTTTTTGAGATAAGTGAGGTGTCATACCCTCTGTATCAGGTAGTGCAAACTTTTCCTTCTTCTCGTTTGTTCCCTTATTTTCTTCTTTCTTAGGTCATTCCGAGCTGTAGGTAGAGGTGACATATGATGTGCCCCGCCTTTTGTACTTGAGTTGTCTCTCGATTTTCATGGCCATCTGCATCATGTATTCCACCACCATATAGTGCTGTAATTCCACCATGTTCGCGATGTCTCTGTTGAGACCTCCAAGAAATCTCACTATGGTTGCTTCGGGATCTTCTTCTATATTGGCCCTGATCATGACCATCTCCATCTCTTTGTGATAGTCCTCAATAGAAATATATCCTTGCGTTAAGCGTTGTAACTTTTGATGCATCTCTCTATAGTAGTAAGAGGGTACGAACCTTTTTCGCTTGATTGCTTTCATCTCTCTCCAATAGGAAATTGGTCGCTCTTTATTACCCCATCTAGTGAGGAGTAGTTGATCCCACCACACTAAAGCATAGTCAGTGACCTCTACCGCTGCTAGTTTGATCTTATTTTTTTTGTGGTAGTTATGACAATTAAAGACTAGTTCTACCTTCTTCTTCCACTCCAAGTATGCTTCAGCATTATTTCTACCCTTGAAAGGTAGTATTCTCATCTTGATGGAGCTAGTCTTATTATCCCTCATTTCTTCTCTCTTCTCCACCCTGTCTTCCCCCTCATAATTACAGGACCCAGCCTCATTTTCTAGATGTTGAGTTTTAGGTCGCCTTGTATTAGGGGTCCTGTGTCTTGCTTCACTTCGACCACTACTCAAATTATCTATCTTCTGATTAAACCGTATCATTTCTACATGCATAGTCTCCATAAGGAACATTATGTTAGCAGGGCTTTGATACTCACTTGACATTTTAAGAAGATTTGTTACAAAATGGTTAATGAAAAAAAGTTTCTTTTTTTTCATCAGTTCTCTCGTATTTCACTCACTTGGTTTTTATCCTCTAATAATCTCA